CATGACTGTCACTCCCAAATTCACGACGAGAAAACAGGGCAAAACTTTGGGTAAGACCAAATTAAAAAATGGAACAACAAACAAAACATAACTGGATTGCCCTTTTTTTTGGGGGGGGGGGGGGGGAGGGAGGTGGTTAGGGAGGGTTTTCTTTCTCCTTACTTGAGTTCAGCTCTACTCAATCATCTTCGGTGAGAGTGTTCTCAACGACGCTGTCGCCATTGTTCTCTTTCAGACCCTCGACAGCTTTCCGGTCAGCTCTCCTCCACTCTGTTCCCCTTTCCTACCTTCTTCTCCCTCTCCCTCTTCATCTCCCTCCCATCCTCCAACCCGTTACCATCGTCTCATCCATCTTGCAGGACGATTCTAAATTTCACGTCTCGGCCAAGTAGTTGCTCTCCCCATTTCTCCTCACCCCTTCTCTTATCCCCGCCAGTCTTGGTGTCTCCTCCTCCTCTCCTTCTTCCTCCATCGTCCACTCCTCCTTTTACCATGTCACAGGGCAGCTTTCGGCGCTCTTGGTATGTTCCTGGGCATCAGCATCGGGTCTGTCCTGCTAGGCGCTGTGAGTCCCTGTTTCTTCCTAATCTCCACTTGCAACCATCTTATCCCCCCCCCTCCTTCCCCTCTTCTTTGTCCTCCCCTCGCCCTCCTCGTCCTACGTCTTCCTCTTCTTCGGCATCGTGCTCGTCATCGTCTCACCTCCAGCAGGTCTCGGGCTTGTGCGCTGGTTTCATCACCAAGTGGATGCTCGTCAAAGCTACTGCTCCCACTGAGGTCCCCGCCCCGCCCCTCCCCCTTCCTCCTTTCTCTCCTTCCTTCTCCCCTTCTCTTCTCCCTGCTCTTCTTCTCTGCTCTTCCTCTTCGCTCTTGGAACCTCCGACGACCCTCCTTTCCATCACCTCAAACCTGCTCCGTCAATGATCTTTCCTCATCCTCCTCCACCACCACCACCTCCTCCATCCCTTTAGCTTGGGGACGCAGGTGACGGTGATGCTCTCCATGGCTTATCTCTCCTTCATTGCCGCTGATTCTGTTGGTCTCTCCGGTCTCATGGCAGGTTCTCTCCCTCGCTCTCCCTCGCTCGCTCTCCTTCCCTCTCCCTCCCTCTCTCCTTCCCTCTCTCCCCCTCTCTCCCTCCCTCTCTCCCTCCCTCTCAATCTCCCTCTCTCCCCCTCTCTCTCTCCCTCTCTCCTTCCCTCTTAATCTCCCTCTCTCCCCCTCCCTCCCTCCCGCTTTCCTTTCCCTCTCGCTCTCCCTTGCTCTCACTCCCCTGCTCCTTCCGTCTTTCCTTGTCTCATCGTTTTCTGTCAGTTTTCTTCTCTGGTGTCGTCATGTCTCACTATGCCAAGTACAACATAAGGTGCCCTTCCTCCCCTCCTTCAACGTGTTCCTGGGATCTTGCTGCTGCTGCTGCTGCTGCTGCTGCTGCTGCTGCTGCTGCTGCTGCTGCTGCTGCTGCTGCTGCTGCTGCTGCGCCGCTGCTTCCTCTTACATTTTGCAGCGAGGACGGTCAGCACACGACTCATAACGTGACTCGGACGCTGGCGCACTTGTCGGAGATGCTGACATTCCTCTACTTCGGCTACACCATCCTCCCGCTCGTCAACGCTTCCTGCGCCAGGTCTTGCTGCCGCTTTTGAAGGCTTCAAGTGAAGGAAGGAGGGAGAGGTGGAGGAACGCGGACGCGGATGCAGAGATTTTGAGAGGAGAGGAGAGGAGGCGCGTTGAGGGGAATGCGTGGGAGAGGAAAAGAGGCGAAATGTGCGAGAACGAAGAGAGAGGGAGGGGGAGAGAAGGGAAGGAGAGGAGAGGAGAGGAGAGGAGAGGAGAGGAGAGGAGGAGAGGAACTGAGCAAGAGCCAGGGCGGAAAGGATGGAGGAAGTAGCTGTGATAGAGTGGAGTCTCTTCTTCTGGACCCTCTTCATGTGCTTCGTGTCGCGAGCCATCAACGTCGTTCCCCTTACCATCATCATCAACATCTTCCAGCGAAACGAGCGGAGGAAGAGGATCAGCTTCAAAAGGTCCTTCATTTCTCTCCTCCTAACCTCACCTGTCTTTTCCTCATGCTCTCTCCTACTTCAGCTCCTTCTGATTGCTGGTGCAGCATGCTCATGATCTGGTTCAGTGGCCTGCGCGGGGCCATCGCGTTTGCTCTCTCGCTCACTTTTCAGGTCTGCAGAAGGAGGAAGAAGAGGAGGAAAGCGTGCCGGGTGTGGGTGTGCTAAAATGCGATGAGAATAGGGAAGGGGAGGCAGCGAGGAGGGAGGGGGAGAGGAAGGGAGGCAGGGGAGGCAGGGGAGGAAGGGGAGGAAGGGGAGGAAGGGGAGGCAGGGGAGGCAGGGAGGCAGGGAGGGAGAGGGAGAGGGAGCGAAGACGGGGAGGCAGGGTTAGAGGCAGGGAGGGAGGGAGGGAGGGAGGGAAGAAGAGAGGAAGGGAGGCAGACATGAGATGGGTTGTGAATATCTTAACGTCTCCTTCAGTCGCCTAACAGAAGGTTTCTCATCCCTTGCGTCATCCTCGTCGTTCTCTTCACAAACTTTTTCCTGGGCCAAGCAACAGCTCCTGTACGCTCTATCTCGTCTCCTCCTGCTGCTCCTGCTGCTCATGTTCTTTCTGTTCTTCATCCTGCACTTGCTCCTGCTTGTTCCTCTCGCTCATTCTGCTTCTCCTCGCAGCTCCTCAAGCTCCTTCGAATTCCTATTGGCATCACCCCCGACGACAACGAGGAAGAGCAGGAGGAGCCGAGGTGAGAAGGAGTCAAGGTGACTGTCGCTGAGCAAGGGAGCAGGACGGGGATAGACATACAAGACATGTCTGCTCGCTTCCTTCCATCCCGCGGCCCAGTGCGAGTAGGGAGGATGCATGCGCTGTGGAGAAGAGTCGACGAGCTCTACCTGAAGCCTTATGTGGTGAGCACCAGCCAGACTCTCCTCGTCCTCGTCCTCGTCCTCGTCCTCGTCCTCGTCCTCGTCTCCTCCTGTTCCTCATTCTTCCCGTTCTCTTTGTTCTTGCCCCATTCCCCCTCCTCCTCCCCGTCCTCCTCTCAATTCTCCACTTTTGCTTCTTCTTCCGCCTGCTCTTCTTCGTTGGCTGATTGTCTGGAAGGGGGGAGATCGAGGCGAGGGCTCTACCGCAGACAGGCAGGACTGGAGGAGGGACTGGAGGGATCGATGCCTTCTTCCATGCACCTCCCTCATTCAGACTTGAGGTCAACGTCCTCCTCCTGCTCCCCCTGCTCCCCCTGCTCCCCCTGCTTCTGCTCCTTCTTCTGCTCCTGCTCCTCCCCTCACTTGCTCGCAGCTCCTCGGACCTCGAACGAGAATCAGCAGCAGACAAGTCGCTGGGAGATCAGGAGCTGGTGCCAATGCCCAAGGAGGTGAGGACAGGGAGGGATGGGAGGGAGGG